GTGACCGATACACCCAGTTACTACACATTGTACATGGTCGTGCTGTGACCGATACACCCAGTTACTACACATTGTACATGGTCGTGCTGTGACCGATACACCCAGTTACTACACATTGTACATGGTCGTGCTGTGACCGATACACCCAGTTACTACACATTGTACATGGTCGTGCTGTGACCGATACACCCAGTTACTACACATTGTACATGGTCGTGCTGTGACCGATACACCCAGTAACTACACATTGTACATGGTCGTGCTGTGACCGATACACCCAGTAACTACACATTGTACATGGTCGTGCTGTGACCGATACACCCAGTTACTACACATTGTACATGGTCGTGCTGTGACCGATACACCCAGTAACTACACATTGTACATGGTCGTGCTGTGACCGATACACCCAGTAACTACACATTGTACATGGTCGTGCTGTGACCGATACACCCAGTTACTACACATTGTACATGGTCGTGCTGTGACCGATACACCCAGTTACTACACATTGTACATGGTCGTGCTGTGACCGATACACCCAGTTACTACACATTGTACATGGTCGTGCTGTGACCGATACACCCAGTTACTACACATTGTACATGGTCGTGCTGTGACCGATACACCCAGTTACTACACATTGTACATGGTCGTGCTGTGACCGATACACCCAGTAACTACACATTGTACATGGTCGTGCTGTGACCGATACACCCAGTTACTACACATTGTACATGGTCGTGCTGTGACCGATACACCCAGTTACTAACTACACATTGTACATGGTCGTGCTGTGACCGATACACCCAGTAACTACACATTGTACATGGTCGTGCTGTGACCGATACACCATTTGTTACAACATTGTACATGGTCGTGTCTGTGACCGATACACTCCAGTTACTACACATTGTACATGGTCGTGCTGTGACCGATACACCCAGTTACTACACATTGTACATGGTCGTGCTGTGACCGATACACCCAGTAACTACACATTGTACATGGTCGTGCTGTGACCGATACACCCAGTTACTTGATTGTACATGGTCGTGCTGTGACCGATACACCAAGTTCCTTTACATTGACTCCACACCCTGCCCTTGGTGTTACACATTTGTACATGGTCGTGCTGTGACCGATACACCCAGTAACTACACATTGTACATGGTCGTGCTGTGACCGATACACCCAGTAACTACACATTGTACATGGTCGTGCTGTGACCGATACACCAAGTTACTACACATTGTACATGGTCGTGATTACACCCAGTTACTACATTGTACATGGATTGTGATACACCCAGTTACTACACATTGTACATGGTCGTGCTGTGACCGATACACCCAATTAACTACACATTGTACATGGTCGTGCTGTGACCGATACACCCAGTAACAAACTACATTGTACATGGTCGTGCTGTGACCGATACACCCACTGGGATTAACTACACATTGTACATGGTCGTGCTGTGACCGATACTACACATTGTACACTACCGATACACCATTGTACACATGGTCATGGTCGTGCTGTGACCGATACACCCAGTTACTACACATTGTACATGGTCGTGCTGTGACCGATACACCCAGTAACTACACATTGTACATGGTCGTGCTGTGACCGATACACCCAGTAACTACACATTGTACATGGTCGTGCTGTGACCGATACACCCAGTTACTACACATTGTACATGGTCGTGCTGTGACCGATACACCCAGTAACTACACATTGTACATGGTCGTGCTGTGACCGATACACCCAGTAACTACACATTGTACATGGTCGTGCTGTGACCGATACACCCAGTAACTACACATTGTACATGGTCGTGCTGTGACCGATACACCCAGTAACTACACATTGTACATGGTCGTGCTGTGACCGATACACCCAGTTACTACACATTGTACATGGTCGTGCTGTGACCGATACACCCAGTAACTACATTATTGTACATGGTCGTGCTGTGACCGATACACCCAGTAACTACTACACATTGTACATGGTCGTGCTGTGACCGATACACCCAGTTACTACACATTGTACATGGTCGTGCTGTGACCGATACACCCAGTAACTACACATTGTACATGGTCGTGCTGTGACCGATACACCCAGTAACTACACATTGTACATGGTCGTGCTGTGACCGATACACCAAGTAACTACACATTGTACATGGTCGTGCTGTGACCGATACACCCAGTAACTACACATTGTACATGGTCGTGCTGTGACCGATACACCCAGTAACTACACATTGTACATGGTCGTGCTGTGACCGATACACCCAGTAACTACACATTGTACATGGTCGTGCTGTGACCGATACACCCTGTAACTACACATTGTACATGGTCGTGCTGTGACCGATACACCCAGTAACTACACATTGTACATGGTCGTGCTGTGACCGATACACCCAGTAACTACACATTGTACATGGTCGTGCTGTGACCGATACACCCAGTAACTACACATTGTACATGGTCGTGCTGTGACCGATACACCCAGTAACTACACATTGTACATGGTCGTGCTGTGACCGATACACCCAGTTACTACACATTGTACATGGTCGTGCTGTGACCGATACACCCAGTAACTACACATTGTACATGGTCGTGCTGTGACCGATACACCCAGTAACTACACATTGTACATGGTCGTGCTGTGACCGATACACCCAGTAACTACACATTGTACATGGTCGTGCTGTGACCGATACACCCAGTTACTACACATTGTACATGGTCGTGCTGTGACCGATACACCCAGTAACTACACATTGTACATGGTCGTGCTGTGACCGATACACCCAGTAACTACACATTGTACATGGTCGTGCTGTGACCGATACACCCAGTAACTACACATTGTACATGGTCGTGCTGTGACCGATACACCCAGTAACTACACATTGTACATGGTCGTGCTGTGACCGATACACCCAGTAACTACACATTGTACATGGTCGTGCTGTGACCGATACACCCAGTAACTACACATTGTACATGGTCGTGCTGTGACCGATACACCCAGTAACTACACATTGTACATGGTCGTGCTGTGACCGATACAACCAGTTACTACACATTGTACATGGTCGTGCTGTGACCGATACACCCAGTAACTACACATTGTACATGGTCGTGCTGTGACCGATACACCCAGTTACTACACATTGTACATGGTCGTGCTGTGACCGATACACCCAGTTACAACAGATTGTACATGGTCTTGCTGTGACCGATACACCCAGTAGCTACACATTGTACATGGTCGTGCTGTGACCGATACACCAAGTAACTACATTGTGCTGTTACCAATAAGGCAGGGCGGGACAACTTAGGAATGGCCAGCCAGTCCTAACTTGACACCCAGAAGGAAGCATGCTACAAAAACATTTTTTATATCATTGGAAAGATCTCAAGGAGATGAATCCAAAAATATAATGTGCAAGTGTGTTCATGTTTTCATAAGCTCACAAATTGGCTCTGAAAATGCATTTCTGCAGAAATTTCTGGCAGAATTTTTTTTTTCTGCAGAAATTTCTGGCAGAATTTTTTTTTCCTGCAGAAATTTCTGGCAGAATTATTTTTCTGCAGAAATTTCTGGTAGAAAAGTTTTATAATATGGTCTATGTGCCTCTGTTGCTTCTATAAGTACCCTAACTGGACAATGGAACACTGAATTGTATATGGCAGATGTATAATCCTTGAAACCATATTAAGCAGAGCCTTCATTATTGTACACCAACACACCTTAAAATTATCTAAATGAATTGCTCTTTGTGAGATTTTACTTTGAAATTATCTAATTGCAGTGTGCAAGTAGATGTGACTTTCAAAAATGTAACAGCCTTTTCATGAGGCCAGCCAAATATAAGAATACTTGGTGAAATCCAACAATTCAATCAAGATGAGATATACTATCATAGAAAGCAGATTTAACATCAGACAGTGGGAAAATAACACAAACAAGGTCATATAACATAACTGCATGTATTGTTTCATAAATGCCATACACCACATTACAGTTACACATGCTGTACATATACAAATATATATATATATATATATATATATATATATTCAAACACAAAAACATACACTTTGGTTATTTGCTTTTCTTTATGGCAGTCTGGTTGTAACAAAAGAACAAAATTTTAAAACTTAGACAAACTATAACAAGAATAACATGTAAATAATGAAACTTATATATCATAGGTGAGGGACATACATAAAAACTACAAAGATTTCTAACCATGACAGGGGACCATTATGTTTTTTACTTATTGTTACCTAGACAGGGATATTTACAAGGAGAATAATCAATTTCAGACTTAGCAACAGTTCCAACTAGAGTCATCAGAAGATGACAAATCCCCCCGGCCCCACATATTTGAAAGAACAAATCATCTGGCAGTTACTTAAAGTCCAACTTGGTTTTTTTAGACTACATCCAAATCCCTTCCATGGAAATCAGAGATGAAAAATATAATTTTCTATAAATATACTCTGCTGAAGTTCTGTTGAAATATATTGAAAGGTTTTCAACTTGTGACTCGGACACAAAATCCACCCCTTCTTTTTGAGACTAAGTCCAAATCGTTTTCATGGAAACTGAGAAAAAAATACAAATGACGGAAATCTGTAAATAGCAAAAGGCAGCACTTTGGGATCGACTTCAATTTAACTTGTGGAAACTCTGGCAGATTTGTGTTTTTAGTTACATGTAGCAGAATTGTTTTACTTCAGCAAACATTATGGATAGTTCAGTATAAATTTCATTAAATAACGTTTTCCCATTGAAAACAACTTAAAATTGTAGGGTAAAGGGTTTCCAGAAGCAGGATGCTGCTCAAGAATTAAAATACCTAACATAACATAAATCAAGAAGAAATAGAAATAAAGATAGAGATTTCTTTATACAAGATTTCTTCCCACTTGGTAATTCAAACTTATGAACTTGGGCATATCTCAGTGTCCGGTTGTCTTGAAAGTCCAGTTGGGTTTCAGAGATGGTTCCTGTCACAGAAAACAAAAAAACGTATGACAGCAGTGTATTTTACCCTGAGCCCTCCCAATGAAAATAACTTCAGCATAAGGCATCCACGCTTCATTTATTCCAGGAAGGTTAATTGTACATGGTAAATGGTGGAAAGGAAACAACAGGCAGAGATATATACTTCGTGACTAATTGCATAAATGTTGACCTAAATGTGACAGTGAGGTCTTAGTTATAAAGAAATGGCAAAATTCACAGATATTACATGTCATGTGACTAAAACTTTACCATGAGTTTACGAACAATGCCTTGAGTACTTACACTATGGTAGCCTGCAGTTTGTTAGATTTAGCAACTCTGAGTTGCGCCTCTACATGGTACATAAAGCAAACTTTGGCACAGAAGAGCATTCCTGGATACCACAAAAAAAAACAACAACTAACCTCTGAATGTAATGTAGCATGTTGAGGGAATGGATTCATATTGTATGAGTTGAAATAATCTGATTACTTACGTTTTCTTCTCAATATGCTTGAAATGAATTCTTTTCTTTGTCATGTCACTAAATTCAATTAGCACATATTCTGAAAAACATGAAAAACACTTTCAGTCTTTTCATTTCAGGTATAAACACATTCAACATGCTTTAGAAATATATTAGACACAATAACAATGTATGGTTTATAATAGATATGAATCATAATTTGAATATATTGGCTATTTGTATAATGTTAGAAATACCTCCATCAACACGCTCAACATGGCCAGGGTATCCAGCTGCTCTGTGCACCAACCATGGAGCCTCAACCTTGTCACCAGTCTTCAACTAAATCAAACATGTACAATATGTGTATTTATTCTCGTAGGCTTTCACAAATTGTAAAACATCACAGTGAAAATCTCAGGCAATATAAATATGTAGCTTCTTCACAGCTCTTGAGGTTAAAGTGATAAAAACATTTACATATACATATCTAAAGGAAATACATTGTACTCACTGAAGAAGACATACCTCAAACCTGACCTTCTTTGTTGAAAGCCACTCCTCCAAGTCATAACCAGTCCAATGTATTTTAACTCTTTCCTTCTGTACTGACAATACTTTGGCTTTATACCTGTTTTTAATCAAGATAAAAAAGAATTATGATTTATGGAAACAAGAAGGTTCACACAAATATTTGTTTTAACTTAAGAATGCTCCACTGACATTTTCCTGGTTTCTTATTTAGTCGATATGACAGCAGAAAAAAAAAAGTGTATGCATGTTCTTCCAAAATAAACAGTTAACCTTAAAGTCCTATCAACCACTAAACACTTTCTACCTGGAAAAATTAACACCTCTTGTTAATTTCAATACTGAAATGTCTATATCCTTCTTGAACAATAACTTTCACTACAGATTATAGCTCAAGTAACTACTAGGGCAGACTGAAGTAACTGTAGTAATAACCAGAGAGATGGGAATTATCTTTGCTAGATTCAAACCTATCAAATTTGTTGTTGTAGATTTGCAAAATATGCAGAATCGCTTCAGGTATGAAAAATAAAAACTGCAATTCTTTGAGCGACACAAAAAGTGTTATCCTTCAAGAAGTTTCAGAATGAAAGAGGGTCCGACTATTGATTTTGAGTCAAATGATGATCAGTACCTTAGCAAATCTATCTGAAAATAATCATAAGAATTGATGTAACTCATGAATTTGTGATGATTTCCAAATGTAAAGTTTCTTTGAACAATGATGACAATAATAACATACCAAAAGCCGTCATCCTCTAATGCCTCCACAATCATTCCAACCTTGAATTTGCAGGGGGGGTATCTATGGACAAAATCCATGATATGCATGGTTAGTAAAATGGACTAGTCAGCTCACTGTTATTTTTTGTAGTCTATTTTCAGAGTTTTTCAATGAAAAATCCACCAAGAAATATCTTTCACACAAGTTGCTTGAAACACTGATACTGATGATCCATAATATATACTGGGTGCTGTGTGACAATAGGTCATAGCTAATAACACTGATACACCAACCAGCACTAACACAGTATTGTCTGTCATTGAACCATCTATTTCTTCTTGCTAATGTTTATTTGTCATCTAAACATTGGCAACTATGTACAACGGGGATGATTCCAGTGCAAACAAGTGATTTATCAGGCTCCGCCATCTGGCTGCCCCATGTTATCAACAATCCTATAGTTATCACTGACATGGATGATTCTTTAACAGGTGTGTGAGGGATATCCTTGGGCAATTTCACTCTCTCCATAAAGTTCACATTACTTGATGTCTGATGCATGTCTTGATAGATGTTTGCAATTGAACTAACATGTTCATTCATAAGTTTAATTCCACTTCTGCACAGCAAAATCCACTTGTCCACCATTACAAGTATATTTCTCCTCTGACACAGTGACCCCTGACCTTCCATGAAATGTCACTAGATGCCATGCAGTTGTGGTGGAACATGTTACCTGCACTGGCAATATTTTACCTGCACTGGTGCAGTCTAGATATGACAAAATTGATACCTGCAGTACAGCAACACTGGATTGAGTGAGTATGGTTTTACGCCGCTTTTAGCAATATTACAGCAATATCATGGCGGGGAACACCAGAAGTGGGCTTCACACAAGTTACCCATTTGGGGAAAAGAACCCAGGTCTTCAGGGTGACGAGCAAACACTTTAACCACTAGGCTACCAGCAACATTGGAAATGGCCCCAGAAAATCCTAATACATGTACAGACTAGCACTTTTCATAATTGCTCACCTCATTATTGTGTCTCCTTTTTTGCAAGTAGGACTCAACCTGAAAGAAAATGTTGTTTTACATAAAAACTATATATCAATGACAACATACCAGTATTCACATATTACAAGAAAAATAGGCCATTTAGCAATAGAGATATTTATTAACTTACCATTTCCTCAGTTTCTGCAATCCTTGATGCCTGAAAATAGATTTGTCCGCATGTTATTTGTCCGTCTTATAGAAGCTTGTACAAGTAGGGTTCTATTTGCCATCATGACCAGTAGGAAGAAGTCAGTTGGCTGAGTGATATGAACATCGACATTTCATTGATATTCCTTTTCCATGACCTAGCATAGGGAAGATGATTACAATGAGAGACATGTACAGATAGACTGTGGAACATTGTGGCAAGAGCAAACTGAAGCAGTGTAAACCATTTGTTATCTTAAAATAGGAATATCTAACATAATATTAAATAATATCTAAATAATGCCACTCAAAGAAGCTAGGAATATCTAGGTTAAAAGTAAAAAATTAATATATGTTTGAAAACATCATTAATTCAACCTTCACCATTTCATATATATCCAATTCACTGATGGCAGTTTAAGGTTTCTATAACTTACCTTTCCAGGTGCTGTTTTCTTCACGCTTCTAATATTTGAACTTGATTGTAGAGTCTGATAAAGAAAGTTTGATGCCTTATGAATATGAATGACATCATTGTTCTTTTAATACCACTCTATTATTTACCAAACCAAAAACTTTGTGATAGCAGAAATCATTCATACTGATTTGTTTAGTTATTAAAAACTTCATTGGTGCATTTTATCATAGCAGAAAATGAACAAATCCCCAAAAATGAAACACCATGCTTGTTGTTTTCTCGTTTAGTTTAGTTCTCTATCTTTGTTAAAGGATTTAAATTAATATTAAATATATTAAGTGTAATTACCTTTCTACCCATTCTTGATGCTCTTCCTTTGTAAGATATCACCTGAAAATGATGCCAAAACTTACATGAACTGCTTTTTTTCAAGCCAGAAAGAAACATAAATTGGATGAAGTGTAACATAATATGTATCATTTACATTCAGTTTCAATTGACAAACCATGTGTATACCTGACATTTAACATGCAACAGAATCTGAAATTGAAATAAAATACTTACTGGAAGCTCTGGACATTCCACGCCAGGAATATTCTAAAAGAAGATACAGACTGTTATTCTCTAATCAGTGAATTTTACCATAGTTGCCAATAAAATTACCAGCTTCACATCAAATATATGCTAATATATGTAAGTAGGAAATTGCTGAGTTGATTCCAAACTCATTTCAGACACAACGGCAGGATGAAGATTGTCATTAAGGGTAAACAATAATATGAACAATTTAATTTTGTACAAGTGGGCCTATTAACTAACCTCCAGATGTTCCTGTGCAGTTTCCTCGTGAAGTATATTCTGCAAAATGGCAAAATTCAGTTGAAAATGCTGATTATTAACAAATGATATTATTTCTTATGAGTAATACAATCCCACCAATCCATTTACGTTTTTAGATCTTCATTGACATTAACTCATTTTAGTTAGACATGTTTTCATTGAGAAGGAATTACTTTAACTCACCTGAACTAGGGTTATTTGAAGGTCACGGCCATCATCATTATCACTGAATGCATACACCTATAAATAAGAAAATAAACAATTTACAGTGGGCATTATCATGTGTGTTATATTTTAAAGCAGATATGATATCAATAAGGAAAATTAGTTACAAGGTGTTTTCAAAGTGCCTGGAATATTGCCTGGTGTGCATTGAACAACCAACAACTGATAAAAGTGAATGAACATGACATGACAAAACAAAATACACAAGCACTACTATTATATTACTCATCATACATTGTTAAAAACAAATCAGAATTCACCTGGTGAGATGGTGGTAGATGAATTGTACGAGGATTATGCATCAAATTGCTTAAAACCATGTGCAAAATATCGTTCATGTGAACAGCTGCATTTTGGTGTAAAGTTTTTTAAGATTTCGCCAATTTCCCCTGATTTTCATCATTTTCTGAATTCATGACAATAATCCTTTCAACGTTTTCAATACGTTAGTTCATGTGTGAACAGTCCCTTTAATCTGAAAGGAATATTTTGCAAAATCAAGTTTAGAACAGTTGACTGAAGTAAGTGGCTACATTTATACTAGTGAGTCTAAACTTTTGATAATAATAATAATAATAATAATAATAATAATAATTCTCCGGAAAGTTCTAGGCAGCGTTTCCTGGGAGACGTCCCATTCGCTGTCTGGGCTGCGTGTAGAGGGGGCAAGGGCCCTGAGCTGATGATGAGCCTTACCAGCCTGACTGTGCCAGGATCACCCGAACCCTCTCTGCTGCATACAATTTTTAATCTGTAAATAATAATAATAATAAAATGCAGATTTCTTCATGCGCCTTTTCCACGTCAGCAGATATGCTCAAGGCGCAACAATGACAGATTAAAAGAGTCTCCCACATTTATACAGCAATATGTACACGTCAAAAATAGAGTTCCTAATAATACATTGAAAACAGGTACGTTTTGAGTCCTGACTTGAATGTGGCAATACTATCAGAAACTTTCAGATTGTATGGGAGTGAATTCCACAAGGTTGGGGCTGCATATGAAAAAGTCCGGTTTCAAAAAGTTTTAAGCTTGAAGTTTGGCACGAACAGAAACTCCTGATTGGATGATCGAAGGCAGCGCTTGTTTGAGTAAGGAGTAAGCAGGTCAGAGAGATATGGGGGAACAAGTCCGTGACGGGCCATGTAGGTCAAGCAGAGGATTTTGTAGTCGCTTCTTACCTTGATAGGGAGCCAGTGCAACTGTTTAAGAACAGGTGTGATGTGGCCATGTTTGGGAATGCGACTGATAATACAACAAGCTGTTGCAGTAGTCGAGCCTTGAAATCACAAGCGCCCGGACTAAGGCATGGGTGGCTTCAGCTGTAAGATATTGACGGATGTTGCTGATGGAGCGAAGATGGAAATAGCAAGTCTTACAGATGTTGTTCACCTGTGTTTCCATTGACAGTGATGTATCAAAGTATATGCCTAGATCTTTGACAGGTGAGCTTATAGGAACAACTGCATCGGCGATGGTTAGGTTCTTAATGGGACATCTTGAAATTTGGTGACTTGTTCCTACCAGAAGTGCCTCAGTCTTCGTGTCATTGGGTAGCAGCCTGAAAGCTTTATCATTGACTGGGGTAGAATCGTTTTCAAACCAAAATGGCTGAAACAAAACAAGAAATTCTTCACTGGATCAACACGAAAATGGGTAAAGTTCCAGTATTCTCACTCAGTCTGCTTCACATCATCAAAGTAGTCATCAATAGTCAAAGATCAGCGAGGCTTTTCTATTATGGTCTTCATTCGGGCAAACAAGCGCCATTTTTTAAGTGAGAGCGCTTTGATCCATTGCACACCCGGGGTTAGTCTAAGCAAGTCGTGGTGTAACTCATGGATGGCAATTTGGTAGACACCACTTGCAGGGATTTGCCGTTTGCAGCGTACCCTTATTTTACAACAAGACATGACCGCAGCGTCACGTCCTCTCTGTGACGTCATAATGTCTAAACATTGCCAATAAAGTCACGTGACGATTTCTATGACGTCACAATCATACCTTAGTGACTCTCATTCCTGGAGACACAGAGCTTGCGTCAAGTCACAGAAATACGTCTCTCACTTTTTGAACTCTGAAGTTCGGAAACATATCACGTCACCCATGAGTTAAACATGGCTCCCGACTTGGTGAAAGTTGTATTGAAGCTGTACCATCTACCATACTATGTTGAAAGATGTCTTGAAGGCAGAAGAAATGCTGTGAATGTTTCCCCCTCCTCGGCTCCATCCGTCAGCTCGGCCGGTGGAAACTTGAGAAACAGCTGATTGCCAAAGCGTCCACTTCCGAAAGTTATGTGTGGGAGGTCAGTGCTGAACTTCCGGTGTCCTCGTCCTTTGAATGGTCGTGGCTGGTGGCTGATGACAAGAAAGTCCTCTTCTGGGATCCCGCACAGGACAGAAGGTAATGGAAATCCCTTTTCCACATCTCTTCAAAGCGCGTTAATGGTATGTTTCGTTATTATAATATAAGAACCCCCTGATTTGAAGAAAATCACAAGAAGCAAATACCCTTCCTGGAATTAGACTTGCATAAAAGAATATTTGATCAAATGAGGTGATAAACAGTTTATAGGAAGGAGTTATTTCAGAGCACGACTGTCCTACCACGAAGGGTTGATGCAACAAACATGATGTATGTTTGTTGTGGGATAAGTTGAACTGATTGAAACGATCTGCATTTTCAGAGCACGACTGTCCTACCACGAAGGGGTGATGCATGCATCCTGGGGACGGGACCCCAACTATTTTGTCTCCCAGACCTGCGCCCTGAAGCTGGAGACTTACTACTACTGTGGGGCAGGGGAAGCTCTCGCTGTTGTAGGCTCGGAGCCATGTCTTGGATCCTGGAAGTCCAAAAAAGCATTGATGGCTCACGAGTACCCGGAGAAATCTGGCCACTGGCGGGTAGGTTGATTCATACGTCATTCATAACGTAATTTATTTCAAAATCTGAAGCACTTGGATATACAATAACCACAAATATTTTTCATAGATCAGATACATAACACATTTAGTTAGAATTCATTAATGATGTTTCTATTATAATACGTTGTATATTCTACTTCAGGCAAATACTCTACTGGACGTCCACCGTGACTACCAGTGGAAATGGGCTAGTCACATTCTTCATCTCCATCACTGTTAGAGAATGTGCAAGAAATAGTGTTCTGACAATCCTGTCCTCCACATTTACAAAATTCTGTGCATTTGAGGCCTGAATGGAGACACTGACACTTCTTCCCAACACTACAGTCGTTGTCTGTGCAATACAAGTGTGTGAGATTTCTCAGTTCAGTTGGAGCTATCTCCTTTGAGAACATCACAGGTTCCAAAGAACCATTCACATCTACTGCCCACCCATTGTCCTTGGGCTCACCAAGAACTGGCATGGGTACGTGACTTTGGCACCAAATGGCTACTTGGTACCTGGCTCTCCTCACATGCTCGGAGAAGGCATCTTCAGTGGGAGGTAGATCAGCAGCAGACTAGTCAGTCGTTGACGCCATCACATATCGCAAACGATCCAGAGTTGCACAGGGCTGGTTTTTTCTCTTGAATATTGACAGAATAAATCTCCTTGCTATTGTAACATCATCCTCAAAATTGCCTGACATACCAAATCTCCCCAAAGATGCATATTCTTCCTTGACATGTTGCAAGAGTTTGCTGTAAACAGTGGATTTTCCAACTTTGTAGAAACTGCTAGTTGTGTCACAGCCAGTTAGTGTGTGAGCTGCAGGCAAACTCTGACAGACATCATGTCCCACTGTTACAGCTATGGTACTGATGGGAACGTACCTCCGTCTGTTGGTGGACTGTGTGTTGTGTCCAGCTTCCATATATACAGATGATCTAAGCATGGCATTATTTGTATAGTACAGGAGAAGTACCATGACATCTGTGTCGTCACTTCGAATAACGATCACGGTCATATCGCTCTGAAAAAGTGAATTGCATGCAGCACCATCCTTGTATCGGCTTCCTCGTGGGAACTGAATAGGTCCGTGAGATCGGACACACTGTTTTCATTGATACATTTTGAAATACAACCATCAACAAATCCACCAGCAATGATGAGTTCCTGTCCACTGAGAAGAAATTCTTTTCTTTGCAGAATATAATCTGAAACAAATACTGCTAAGCTTGCCTTGTTAGCAGAATTCTTTAGGAATTTTCTGTAGTTTGGAACTGTACGGCCACCTTTTACATCAAACGTGGCTCCTGACTCATCTCCACGTCTTTGTCGCTCCAACTGTTTGATTGAATTTGGGCTGTCATATCTATCAAACACAATGGCAACGGCGCCAACACCAAGATTGCTATCAAGAATTACCTTCAACCGTCGAAGAACGCAATGTCCTAAGTCATCAAAGGTGGTGAACTGTGTGTCTTTCAAGCTTTGCAAGAGTGCCATGCCATCAACTACATAAGCTGTGCTAGGACCTGTGTTCAAGCTGTGAACTTCATCACATATAGCTTCAAGTTTCTTTGCTAGATCAGATTTGGTGCATTTCCTCATCGTGCCATCATCATGGAAAAGGGACGGTGGGACTGCTGCAAGTTCATGTTTAAGGACAGATTCCAAACTGACATCTCTCTGCTTCGATACAACCAGCAGTCGACGAAAAAGCACCTCAGAATCCACCATAAACCTGTCAGTCTTCTTTGTTGGCAAACCTTTGCGCATCTCTGAAAATGTCAGTACTTTCATGCGAGGTTCGGATCCCAGAAACTCTTGTTCTTAGTTTCTTTAACGAGGCTTTGCTAGGAAATCCTGGTGTTTCTTCTTGCCTTTATCCAAGAAGCCATTCAAACTTTTACTTACCTCAACTGGAGGCAACCTGTCCAGTGGCAATGTTGATCAATTCTGAAGGCACAGTCAGTAGGTCAAATGGATTTTGATATTGGGAAGCAGCCTCCATGATCTTGGTAACATCCTGTTCATCCCTGACAAGCCTTGCATTTCCAAGTTCCTCATGTGGCTTATCAGTCCTGCTCCGATCACTACACAGAGACTTAAACGCTTCAGCGTATTCTGCAGTGATATGCCTTGTCTTTAACCACCGGGTAAGAGCACCTTTGCGTAGTGTCAGACCAATAACTCCTCCTTTGCTTTTGCCATCCCTGTTGATGGTTTGTTCCAGGGCTTGATCTGTTGCCACACTATTGAAGCTGTGCCTTGAAGATCTTCGTATGACAAACCCACCTCCATCCAAGTGTCTGTAGGCTGGCAGATCATTGTCTTTCAAGTTGTTCATGTCCGCTACATATGTTGGAACAAACTTGGCATATGTGTGTCTACCTGCAGCCACAAACCAGGGAATAGTTTCACATACAGTATTCAGATGAAGACTGAAGTTTGCTTCACGCTCTGCCCTAAGTAAGCGCAGAAGTATATCTCCTCCATCCAAGAAAGTGTCCGAGTAGGAGAACGTTTGAGACATGGTTCGTCCAACCTGTCTAAACTCATCAATAGTTTTGATGAGTGTATCCAGGTGTTGAAACTGAAGTTCATTTGATATCTTGATTGCTGAATCATGATCTTTTGTAGCAAATGCATCTTGCAGTTCCTTCAATTTTTGGCCAAGAATGGAAGCCCCTAAAGTGCGTCCTTGTTCTTGAAGCCATGACTCCATTGCCACAAGCAACATGCGGAATAGAGCTTCATGTACCAACTTCAAGCCTCGAAGTCCTTTGCATATTCCTTTCCCTGCAGCATCTTACGGGCTGTGTTGACTGCATAGACATCAAAGTCTGTCAATAAAGACAGAAGGCCTCCTTCACAATAGACATGGCCGAGGCTAGCAATAAAAGCCATTGTGAGATGCATGCTTCCAACTCTCATGGTTACTTTTTTTGTACAAGGCAGGAGGTTTTGCCCACAGGATTTCCTGTGCCTTCGAGTAGATGGCCATGTCAGCAGTTACAAGTATATGGCCTTGGCCTAGTTTCTCAGCCAGCTGAACTAACTGCAGTAGTACAGTGTATATTGTTGAGAGATCTGTAGGAGATGCCTGAATAAAGGGAAGATATCTCACGGATGCAACAGGTGAACTTTCCTCTGATATAAAAGAATTGAACCCGGTCCAGGATGGAATATGCTGAGATTGCCCTTCTTCTTTTCTCACACGAGCTAGCTTCCATATCATGTCCTTGTTCTGGGCACGAGCATAGGCAGTGGAAGTTGAATAGGCCTCAGTAGTAGAACTATCAGCCACTGGATTGGGCTGAGGACGTTGTGCTGGTTTGGTATACCTGAAACGAAGTAAGAAAATTCATTTACCTTAGATAATGCTAGTCATGTATCTACGTCAGTGCAGTATGTCTACTACTGGGCTCATCTTTGGTCCTACTTAGAACTGAATCCAGACTCTCATGAACCAGTATAGTTGGTTGACAATATTACTCCAAACAATGTTGTTTCTTGTTCATATCACATTGTATTTATGAAATTGACATTGCATGTAACTGATAGTTATATGATCAGATTGTGGTAAGTATCATGTACTCTTTTCAATGTATACAACTAAATTTATTTATTTATTTTGGTTTCCATTCCCAAATAATTCATAACATACCTTGCCAATGGAACTTCATTGTCATCATGCTGGATGGACTTTTGAGTGACACGTGGAATTGAGATTCCACTGATATTCCTGTTTCTCCCCTCTGAAACACGACTGCAGCCATGGCATGGGTGGTTGATTTTCCATCAAGGGTCTCTTCATTTTGATCAAAGTTATCAATTGCTGCATCGATTTGAAGGTTATGATCACTTGACAACTGGAGACCTCTAGGCACATACATAGTTTGATCCTGTTGATCAAGGGCGACCGAGGTAAGAAATCGCCGAACTTCATCATAGGATACACAGTGACCCAGTGAATGGAGTTTATCTATGAGCAGCTTACTCCCAAATTCATGATGTACGTACACACCAATACCCAAAGTCATGGGGGTTCTTACATGCCTAGATTTAGAGATGATGTCATGACAAATTGCAAGTGTTGCAAGATCATTCTTTGAAACATTTGCATCACCACAATCTGAAATGTGTTTGTATGATTTTTCGTTGGTAACCCACATTACAAAATTATACAGTAAATTGGGAACAAATTTGGCACATGTCAACATATTTAGTTGAGTACATGGTTCATAATACAAATTTGAGTCACAAATGCTTGACATCTGGTATCTCAATATCTTGGCTGCAGAATGAAGGATCTGTCTTTCATCAATCTCAGATAGTCCAGATGTTGGTGTAAGATCACAAAGATTTTCAGCATCTTCAATGAAATACTGTTCTTGCAATTCAGATGCTTTTCGTAGAGCATCACCCACAGAGACTGTACTGGAGACCAATGTCTGAACGTCCATGGCGTTCAATGAAAACAAGTTTTTCTCCAAAATACTGACTTAATTTCTCTTTCAGTTTCCATGAATACACCTCAACATGCATTCCCAAACTTGACAAATTCTTTTCAAATTCCATCCTTACTTGAGATAATGTTTTTACAGATTTACTCCTGGAAAGTATTGTTTCTTGAATGTTAGACACAAGTTGCTTAAAGGCCTTGTCATATTCTGAGTCTCCCTTGTCATGGTCAAACTTTCTCCTTGCTGCTGTAATGTTTCGTTCTGAGATGTGCGCAGCATAACAAGAATGGTGGTACTTTGCATCGAAGGCAAATAGGTTGTCATACGTAGAATAACCGTTTCATCATTTCTAGCAATAGCTGCAGCCAATACCTTTTCATGTGTACTCTGCCCTGTTCCTGTGGCAATCTATGTTAGTTTCTCACCCTTTTTCCACCCTTTGCTACAAATGAAGCAATGTTGCCGGATGTTAAATGATGATGTGTCATTTCTGCTTAAGCGGGTGTTGTTGTATATGGATTCATCAGACTGTGTGTTGTCAGATATTTGACTGTTGTCTACATGTACATGCTTCAAATTGGATTTGCTGGTACACGATGCTCGACAAGACTTGTGAAAAGCAACTTCAATAGTCCCTGTCAAAATATCATCTTTGAATGGCAATAGATGATGATACACTTCATCCAGACGTACTTCAGAAGCTGTAAACAATGCTTGCAGTCCATCTACTGTGGGTTTTCTTACAATATTTGATGCCTCTTTCCCTTTTTCCCCAAGCTGTCTATGACAGAGAATACAATGTCCTATATCTGGTGGGACTTATGGATTCTTTGGCAGGTGGTGCCAAATCCATCCTTATATTGTTTACACAATAATGAGCATCATAGTCCAACTTACATTGATCACTGAAACTTCACTGTGTTCAATATCTATGTCATCACAGACAGAGCGGTCACTAATACTCCATATTGGATAGCAGAAGGGGAAATCACTCTCAACAAACATTGCCAAATTTAGTAATAATGAAGCGCCCATAAAATCTTGGGTGAAACTTTATGAATAGACAGTGTTTTTGAGAATGGTTGTTTGACCTAGTCACAGTTGGTAATGGTAACATACCTTCAAATAAATTAATGCCCTCTACATGTGCTATCATATGAGTGTAAACAGGGCTTTCTGTGTCATTCTGAAAATTCTTTATGATAAATGAAAACTATCAATTATTTTATTCTGCACTAACTGATGCATTAAATAATTCATTGTGTCCATCGGTGGCTTCAATAGAGTTAATGATTAGTACTGAAAGAATTGATGAACACTACAGATCATTTTTAAAAAAAGATGAGAGTTGTACCCCATCAAATAATGTTGTAGTGGGTGGTTAAGTGAACCTCCCGTCCGAAACATATTTTGCTCTTGTAACCATGGAAACAGAGCATTATATATATTACATACCAATTTCATATGACCACAACCATACTTTTCTTGAAGAATGCACATATATGTACAAGAAAATATAGGTTGTGTCTTGTTATACCATCGGTTGGGGTTGCTCCTATTTTTATAGGCCTTTTGAAGAATGGCCACTGGACTATCCCTTCTACTGCGAGGCAGGGGAAGCCCTCGCTGTTGTCGGCTCGGGAGCCATGTCTAGGATCCTGGAAGTCCAAGAAAGCATTGATGGCTCACGAATATCCGGAGAATTCTGGCCACTGGCGGGTAAGTACACAAGTACACCCTTGGTGACTAAGATTTATTTCAAAATCTAAAACACTTGGATATACATTTGTTTGAGTGGCATTCTAGAAGTTAGTGGTATAGAGATGACAAAACGTTATAGATGATATGTTTGAAAACGGTATAAGAACCTATACCGAAACGTCGCTATTGTGAAAATAAAGAAGTTGATCATCCATAACGTTTTGTCATCACTTGGATATACAATAACTACAAATCGTTTTCATAGATCAGATACATCAGTTTTAGCTGGAATCCATTAAAGATGAAAATATCACAATTCTTTGCATTTTCTACTTAAGGCAAATACTCTACTGGACGTCCACCGTGACTACCAGTGGAAGTGGGCGGTCGTCGACGTGAAGATGAGGAAGGTGAAGAGATGGGAGGAGTGTGCCAACAGATTCATCTCCACCAACTGCGAGCAGCTCTCCATCCTGGCACCCTGGGAACACGCCATCGTCCACCTTGTCCCACTCCACCATCATCCAGGAGCAGACGATCGACATGGCCAAGGTGGCCCAGTTCTATGATGCCGTGGAGAACTGTGATGAACTTGTGACCTCGGAGATGAGTCACGTGACGTCTGGGTGGCAGTCACGACAGGAGACGAAGAAGAAACCATTTGTCAGTAAGTAGAGCCTTTCATTTGTTTCTGAAAGTTGATAACAGAACAGTTTGCAGAACGGTTCAGATTTAAGTCCCTTTGGGATTGTGAGGATCTGCTGATCGCGGGTTCAAATGTTAATGATCTTCAGCACCACAGCCGTGCTGCTGGGTTACCACGTCGGTTTCAATTCATGAAATGAGTCATCCAGTCAAAATTCATGAAACAGGCTTTCAGTATTTTGCGTTACCGTGGTGAATGAGTAATTACTGGCAGCATAAGGCTAGAATCCTGACCTCTGTGTTAGAAACCTTACCTCGGTGAACTGCAGCAGAACCAGAACAAAACTATTTATATGACATTAATACACATGTAAGTCCTGCATCATTATTTTCATCCCAGATCATGTTAACATTGCATGGTATAACTGAAATAACTGTTTCCCAAACTCACTCACTTGCTCACTCAAACCTTGTGATACACGAAGCCAGAGCATTGTTTGGGAATCTTTGCAGGGGTGTATGTCGGTCAACCAGTTCTACCTGGACTTGTGTGTCACGTGGCCAACTTCCTGAGTGACTGTTACTACTGGTTGGAGTAGATGTGGCGTTGTCATGGAAGCACAGATGTTGATAGAGCCTATTTAAAAAAAAAAGGAAAAAAAGAAAAGATTTTGTAAATACAAATCATGTTGCAAATTTTTTCATAGAATCACCTTGTAAATATGACCAAAATTCGTTCAAATACATTGTTATTAAATGGAAAACAAACTGACAAATGTTGTTATGCGTATTAACTGTAGAGTTGGAGGTGTAAATTTTATTTGTACATGCATCAATCAAACAGAATTAAACCTCCTTATCAATGTATACACAAAATCGTTGTTGTGGTGATTCCACCATGAATTTGTTGTTAATGGGTCCAGAAATGATATTGTTTACAAAATGTCGAAACGGACAGTTTTTTTTTATATCAAACATATCTCGTGTGATGGTGTATGCGTTCCAGCTCATGTCGGTGTCCAGGGTAATAAAGTATCAAATAACCGTGCTATGATTTCTTTATTATAAGGGGGCGGTGGGGTAGCCTAATGGTTAAAGCGTTGGCTCGTCACGCCGAAGACCCGGGTTCGAATCCCCACATGGGTACAATGTGTGAAGCCCATTTCTGGTGTCCCCCGCCGTGATGTTGCTGGAATATTGCTAAAAGCGGCGTAAAACCAAACTCAGTCAGTCTTTATTATAAGGTTGATTCATTTGAATTCTGACCTTGCCAAATTTTATTTTGAAAATGCCATTGTGATGTCGGTCTCCATGATAGTGAGACGTTATGCACAGACACTACTCTTTATAACAGGTTACACACAAATTGTAAATTTACCGTGTAGAGACGTAATGTAGTTGGTTTTAGTAGAATTCGTCTTGGTCACTGAGCACTAAATGCCGACACAAGTGTTGTTCATAAGGATGAATCAACTCTTTGTTACCAATTCCGTCTAGTACTTAATGCCTGAAACTGTTGAGCATAATCTCTTGGTATGTCTTCGGCATGTTAAATTAAGACAAAATCTTAGAAGTACGATTCTTACGAAAGTGAAACATTTTCCCTTGGTGCAATATTCGGGCTCCAGCATCCTCTACCATTCAATTCCAAAGTTAATACGTGCTCCAGGCAGGTATGAGATAATCTAATGGTGGAAAACCAACAATATGTATTGCTTTTGAATCAACAATATGTATTGCTTGGTGTTTAAACCCATTTAATTAAGCAGAAGGTCATAGCAATTTTCATCATCAGAGTAAGCGAGTACAATGTCTTACAGTTTTATTCACAGTAAATATATTCTGTTGTTGCGATCAATCTTCCTGCATTTAATGTTTTGTGCGCACAAATACCTTATTTCTGGTCGAAGCCACAACCATGCACCACAACTGCCGAACAACACTGGACCATGCTTTCGTGCACAGGGGTTCGAATCACTGTTTGGACAATAATTTAAAAAAAAAGGAATCTAGATTTTTGCAAGCCGTATATGGTTTTATATGTTATGAGTAACTTATATTTCAGATTTGAACGAAATCGGTGAAGAAATGGAATTTTTAGAAAATTTTCCCGCTACACTCATAATACTCTTTATGTAATGAGTGTAGCGGGAGAATTTTCTAAAAAGTCCATTTCTTCACCGATTTCGTTCAAATTTGAAATATAAGTTACTCATACCATATAAAAACAATATACGGTTGCAAAAACCTAGATTTTTATTTTTTTTAAATTATTGTCCAAACAGTGATTCGAACCCATGTGCTTTCGTGAACCAGGGACACCAGTGGTTCTTACGAGTTATGACCCTTTTGTGCCCTTCACGTCGGCGAATCAGATTCCACTTGAAACAAAATGGTGGCGCCCGGTCTAGATGATCATTCGTCACCACTCGCCCCTTTCCATAACCTGCAAGAAGTCGCTATTCGGCTTGGCCCGGAATAACACGAGTTGGTCACGAATGTCTAGATGATATGATCAAGATATATATTGTAATACAATGGTTCTTACCTGATGAAGTGCATGTGTTTGCAATTAACTTGAGCATCTTGTATAAAACAAAAAATGGCTGGAAAATATCTATCGATGCCCAGTTGACGGTACACATGTTTTGCAAACCCTGCTACCCCCTGCTGCACATCAATCTACGAATCGCTACGACTGTCGTAAGTCTTTGTTAAAGTATGGGAGTTACGATCACCTTAGCGCTATATGATCGCTTTGTGAAACGGGGGCCCGGATGTAGATTTCGTAAACTCAATTGATTCAGGAAAATAATTTCAATTTTTTAATGGATTTATTTGCTTCTGAATTGGGATAACTTATGTATTGCACTGACAACTTTGAATTCCAACACAAAAAAGAGACTATTCTGTGCAGACACATTTTTGATTTCGTAGAAAGGATTTAAAATGATCATATTGGCAAAACCCTGGTAGAAGCACACTGGTGTGACCACCAGACATTGTTGACCGCCTCCGCCTCCAAAAGACGTTAAAATATGGTACTTGTTGGTCCCTGCCTGGCGCTCGGCATTAATGGGTACGACAAGGACTGGTCGGCTCGTAGTCAGTATTATCAGAGACCATATATGGCATGTTATCTCAGTGGGCTAGCACTATAAAACCAGCTTAAGTCTGGGCTAGTACAAGCAGCCGCACATGCACATACACATACACACACATGCACATGCACGTCGTCATATGAGCGAAATATTCTCAAGCACGACGTTAAAATCAATTTCACCTCACCTCACCTCACCAGACATTGTTTACACTGGTCGCATCTTGGACATGGCGCCTCAATGTGTTTTCTATTATTAATCAATTTATAATATACGGACAGGCCCAAACCATCTTTATATACACATCTGTTGTCTGTGATAGATTGGCGATGCAGGAGAGGCTCTTAATGTATCAGTAAATCAGCTGGGGAGGACATCGGATCGATTACACAACAAAGTAGCAGGGCAACTGATGCATTGAGAGGAATGTCTGGAGTCTGGCGCACTGTCGTCAGTAACAGCATCAACTGCGGTTCGATGACCTCATCAGCATGGCCGTGCATAACTGTAAGTGCACGTGCAAGACCGCGAGGGAGTGGCGCCGCAGAGGGATGAGCGCGACTTGTGCGTACTCATTTCTAGGTCTAGGTCAACCCATCCCTACAAGGGTGCAGACAGTGATGAATAATCAATCTTTTTGTTGGTTCATCGATATATGTTGTTGAATGTCATTTTGGTTGGTTTGTTCGCAAGCTTAAAGCCGCTGTATAATATTACAGGTTTCTGGTAGCGGCCTGTAAATAGTAAAATCTGGATCACACAATCCAGTGATTGGTATTATGTTCAACGATCCATGCCGTTGGGGTACTGTGACACATCTACGTGATGGAGCTAGTATATACCGAAATTAGGTCATTTAACAAACATATCGTCTTCTCAGGGGCATACCGGATCAGAGCTTCAGAGTTTACTAACACCGGGTGGTCAGGTGACTCATGGTTTTATTCCCTTATGCAGCGTCTAAAATTCCCGCCTGCCCGACCGTCCAGAACGGTCTATTTTCATCTTGGACGGTCAAATTTCAAAAGTAGCCTGGTGGTCTGGTAGACATTTCATAATTTCAGTAAATATTTCATAATATCAGACAGGTTCTCTTGTCGTCAGTTTGAGGTGTTTACGGTATTATGATGATTAGGTTAAACTACTTACGATTGGACAGTTCATGTCACGATAACGCTTTCAGTTTACCTAAACTCTGTGCATTGCCTGTTAGTGCTATGTAGTTCAAACAGTAACCTGACTAACTTGATTTTGTTTGTTTTTTAATTGTTGAAAACCGGACAGGCAAGTTGTATCCAGTCCTGCTGTCTAGCTTGGAAATTTAGGAGTTTTAAACACTGCCTTATGCCGAGCACCAGCATTTGGTATGAAGCGGCCAGTAATCGACCACTGACCTCCCGCTCTCCGAGCAAACGCACAAGCCACTTGCTACGGAAACTATCTTAAAGCTCCTGAATAGCGTCCAAACAGAACTGAATTGTTATAATGACTCTTTGATCAGTCTTTCAGCTATGTGAGAAATATAATTTCAAAAATGATATATCCAAACAAGCTATAGTTATTGTAACGATGATGACACAGCCATCTCGAGATAATGAATCATTTCTAGACGAGCACGTGCCCCACGAGTTGCCTATCGCCCTCCGATCAGAGTACAAGAAGATAGACGCACCCTCAGGGATGATATCGCTGTGAAAACGAGGTTTCATCACTGTGGGCCGACAGTTTTGCAAAAAATGACCTTGACATAATCACTGTGTGTTGTGCAATACACGTGTGTGCTTGCCAGTCAGATCAAGAAATACTGAAACCTATAGCATTAC